TGATAGAAGGTGGGATATGTTGTGATCATGCGCGAGCGAATGTGTAGGGGTTCATGCACTCGTAGGCCTACTTGTTTTGCCAGAAATGGAACTACCGTAGACGACATGGATTGTTGCACCACATATCCCCTACCCTTCTGCCTTCTTCTTCGGTCCCTAGACCCAATAATCCTAATTATTTGCTCATCTTCAATATCTCAGCATCACCATGATGCTAGAAAAAAAGCGGAACTGAAAAAAGACTGCGCGAAAATCTCGAAACCCACCATTGTTAGTTACAGGGTCGATGGGTTAGTAGCAAATCAATTGTTAGTAGTGAGCCGTTGACATTGAACCTCACCGCACCATGACTACACTTTTGTAAACAGTACAGTGATACCACTGATTAGTGTAATTGATTTTTGAATAAGTATGGGCGCACACGACCTTAAAGGAAGCGATTACGCAAAGGAATTTTCCCATCGGGGAAGACCCTGCGTCACACGGAGCAATTACTTGGCCGCCAAGGAAGAGATGTGTGGCCCTCCCACGGCGGAAGGTGCTGTGGTTGCTGAGCAGGACCCGCGCGACGCCCCGCCCTCTGCGACGTGACGCCCACAGGTTCACTCGGTGGCTTGGGCGAGCCGTGTTGCCAGCCGCAGCGCGGTTAGGGCGCCATGCCTGCTGTTTGCTGCCAGCACGCGTTGCGCAATCTCGTCCACGCGTGCGCGGTCTTCGCCGCAGTCCATCTGAGAGCCGCAATAAACGGCCAAAAGGGGGTCCCATTTCTCGTTTCCTGGACCGATTTCGCTGCTTCTTTCGCCACTGACGTACCATTGAGGACCCCCTCGTCCCCTCTAAACCCCATTTAAACCTAGCGTAAGCCGCTGCCTTTAAGGGAGACATTCAAGGTAGTGAGCCAATTCTGGATGGGCTAAGCTTCAGGGTGAGGAAGGAATTTTTGGGGAGGATAGAGCATCCCCCGGCAGGGTCAACCCTATGTTGCTACAAGTAGCAACGGGGGGTCGTATTTTGATGAGTTTGTAGAGAGGGGGTCGTACTTGCTTCGTTGTTTTTAAGGAAGAATTTACCGTTTCAGAGTGACTATATATCCCCGCTCGACGGCATTTTTGGAGGAAAAAGTGGGCGGGGTTTTGATGGAAGATGGAGATGGTGGAGGTAGGGAAAAGGGGGGTCGTAAAATTTTTCGAAAAGTAGCAACGATAAGGGCCGACCCTGCCCCCAGGTCATAAGCGCCTAAGTATCACTTCGTTATGGAAGAAAGTGGAGAATCATGCTACGACTTATCAGCACTAGATATGTGATATTTATTTTCGCCGCGCAGCACACGCGGCGAGTTTAGAAAGGCGCCGGCCACACGCGCCCGCCACGGCAAAAGCACGCGGTCCGGAAAGGGTTAAATGAATATCTCTGTGAGTAAGACAGCAGCACAGAAGTCGTGGCACGTCGCATATTGAAAGTGCGAAAGATGTTGATTGATGGCAGTTCTGCATGGACAGCTGCAACAGTTACCATTTTTACCACTTCACAGCGGTCTTCCTTTTCACGCACGCTTTCTCCCATATTACCTCTCCTTTCCGCGCCGTGTCTTCCCGCGCTTTTTTTCTAAGCTTGGTTCTAAACGTTAATTATAAAAGAAGAAGTCCGTCGTGGCTTTGCACTTGTTGAGTGCAATCTCTACACTGCCATCGCTCCAACCAAGGAGCATCTCTATTTCAGCCGCATTCCACCTTGGAGGCTCATGCTCTTGGGGTAGGTAAATAAGAGGGCACTCAAAACCTAGTAAGCACTGCTTTATCAAAATTTCCGGAATGCAAGCTCTCCCTCCTTGGAGAAGGATCCGGCACTCAAAGCAGGACTATGCAATGGCACCCACTGATGGCTACCACTCCTGTGCGCCGCGTGGACATATTAACACATTCACGCCGATGGCCGCCCATATGGGCTGCCAACAACATGCGCTCCTGGGACGATGGCAGCCCATATGGGCTGCCAACTGATAATCGCTTGCCAGGCGCTAGGAATGGACAGATAGGTGGGCAAATCTCGTAATCGAGTGTAAAATGCTTTTAAATTCCTTCACGGGGAAAGTGAATAAATGCTCTCTTCTTTCGTACCACTATTCGTCGTTTTGATCGAAATCCTACTGTTATATGTTCAGAACAACGCTGATGAAATGACACTGAAATGAAAGGCATTATCTACAATCTGCTCTCTATTTTCTATTCAAGGGCTCTCTACGTTCGTACGCATATCGATACTATCAGTCCTCATCAGTCGTTATCACTTTGACCCCCACCAAATATGTTTCCGTCCCACCCCCTATATCATGTCCCAAAATCAGCTCCTGACGACTGCTGCGAAGCGCACTATGAATTTCGTGAAATTTGTGTTTCAGCGCCTCTTATCTGCTCTTATCAGTCGTTATCACTTTGTGACCCCCACCAAATATGTTCCCGTCCCACCCCTATATCATATCAAAAAATCAGCTCCTAACGACTGCTGCGACGCGTGCTATGAATTTCGTGACACACACACACACAAACAGACAGACATAGCGCTTTATATATAGTAAGGATAATCTTTACGCATTGGACATTGCAGAAATTATTTTGTGACATTCATGTTTTTGTTCATTTACAAAACAAAATCTGCGGTTATGTGGTGAGGCGGCGGCGCCCACAAAATCGCGTCCGTCCCACGCGACCGAAAAGTGGAAAAGGGGCGTCGTCGTGAATGTGTTAAGGTGGCACCGCCATTGGGCGTGGCACCCAATGGCGGGGGGCACCCTAAATCTTCTGGCTCATTTGCACATTTGAAATAGTTCTGACATTCTGGTAATTACCAGCAACCTCCGTGATATCTATTTGTAGCATACTCACAGAACTGTGTTATAGGAACTAATTTACACGAAATTTCAGTGTGAGGCATTTAGGTCATTAGTTAGTTAGTTAACGAACCACTCATCCGTCATTTTCGAACGAATACGCTGTCGAAGGGAGAAACACAACAGTCCAAAAGGGTCTCTGAAATTATTCTCAAGGCCTTCGCACACATCAACCGTCGACAGATGAAATGTTTGTACTCTACAATGTAAACAGCATCTCTCAAATTGTGCACTGAAAAGTATTGACCTGATCCCAAGCTAGCTGCACCAGCCAATCTACAGGCTAAATACAAACCCTGCTGCTAGGGTCCAAGCCATGTAGCGTTCCATCAATGACCTATGAATGCATTGAGGTGACGTGAGCACAATTGACTGGAATGTTGGGATGTCTATGCACATGCATACAGAAAACCAGCTCCTATCACTGTGGGTGGCGGACGGCATGCCTTACCACCAGCGATAAGCAAGAAGGAAAAAAGTTCGCCTTTTGGCTGCCGTAACGCTGTCCCCAAAAGAACCAGCCGTGGTAATTAATAAAGTTAAGGAGACCTGCTCGGTGCACTGTTTTTGAAACACTTTCGGTTGTCCTGAAACCGGCCTATGCAGAGCTCATGCGCAACTGTCACCAAATTGATGACACGCTCACGGTTGTGGACAAACATCGGGGCTTAACCCCTTTGACTACTGGTGGGACACATGTGTCCCACTTTGTAGTCAAAGACACTACCACAGTTTTGGCACTTATAGAGATCGTAGAGCCATTTGATAGGGAAATTATGCACGAATAGAAACTTTATGATTCTTACTGTGACACCAAATTGTCACAAGTCAGAACGAGTTACTTTGGATAGTTTAGTAAGCAAGTGGTACCACAGGTCACTGGACAGTGTGCGCAGCTCAAAAAGGTAATTTTTGAGTCTCACACTCTTCATCCTTGCGCTAATGGTTCTAGTGTTTCCCTTAATTATTGTATCACGTGAAACGTAAGCAAACTGATGACGGACAGAGGCATTTTATCGGCCGCAATCCAGTCAGAGGACGACGCAGCCTACTACGACTGCGTTGGAAATTCTAACCTCCAGAGTTCTGTCAGTTTGGATGGTGAGGAAGTGATAATGGAAGACCCCTATGGTGACGCAGATTTTTGAGCATGAAATCCAACGAAAATTCGTCAGAGAAGAAGCAGTCGGTGGGCGCATCCTACAGGCAGTAGAGCAGCACTTCTACAAAATGCGGCTTGCAATTCTTTTCAAGTGCGTTCCCAACAGGACACTGGCTTATTGCACGATTGAGAGCTGTGAGAGTGTGCACTTGTCGAATGGTAACTGAATTACCAGTTGATGTTTCAAAAATGCTCATCTGAGCGGAAATGGTGTAATGGCAAGAGGGGCCGCTACCGCGCGCGTGGTCCCTAGATCAAATCCCAGGTCACACCCAACGTACATCAGCCAAATTTCTACAGCTGGTTGCCTGTTGCTGGGAGGGATAATTGCAACGCAGAACACATTTATAACTCGATTCTAAAAAAGTCGTAGTCTAAGGGTTAAACGCTGGCTTACTTGCGAAATCGTCGAGAACGCACTCCTTGATAGTTGCACAGCGCGAAGGGGAGGTCCGAACCTTTCTCTAACTATTGCGTTTGAGTAGAAGCATGTTGAAGGAACATATCTTGAGAGGATAGGACGGGTTGCTTCACAGGGAGTTTCAAAAATTCAAAATGTATGGACGCACCAGTGATTTTGCCCTCACCTGTGTGACTGCTGGAACGGCGAACTTTACTTACGCCTATACTTTATTTTCCCATCTATTCCCCACTGTCCTTGACTACTCCAAAACCTCAAAAACCCTCTTTCTTCCTCTAACGCAAAAACGACACTTTTTTAAGTCCCCGATTGTGGCCCACTTCGTTGGTCGCCGTCTCCTCTGATTCGGTTTCTAAATGCAGTGCAATCGAATTTGAAATCTTTCAAGCTATTACAACAGAACCGACATATACAGATTTGAAGAAAATAAAAAAATTCCACCACTGAATCACTTTTATTTTAGTAAATGTTCAGAAGTAGGACAATTATATTTTCATTACTTAATTAAAATCTTTTTTAGTAATGATGGTCTACCATAGTTCAGTATTAACATGTAATTTCAGTACAACTTGCTCCATGAATGGTACATTGGTTAAATTGAAATACTGCCCGCTGATTTGTTCGACTTCTTTAACTGTTGCGGTGTACTGCAGCAAAAGTTTTTCATGAGGCTGAAATAATTTTGTTCCACGAGATGTAGCAATCATTGTGGAGCACAATGAAGCAGGGTCGGCCGTCCGTTGCGCCAGTTCTGAGAAAATCTTTTACGATTCTCCTCTCTGTAGGAGGCCCTGACACGACCTCCCACCAGGGTCGGTCCTATCGTTGGGACTTTTTGCAAAATTTTTACGACCCCCTCCTTCACGAAAGTTTCATACGACCCCTCTTCACAACTTCTTTTTCCCTCGAAAAACACCGTCGAGCGGGGGGGGGTATATACGCACGCTGAAACGGCAAATTTTCTCCCGCGCGCTCTCACCTCATCACATGTAATTTCGTGCTACCGAAACAAGTACGACCCCCACCACAAACTTCAACAAACTACGACCCCGGTTGTACTTGTAGCAACGTAGGGTTAACCCTGCCTCCCACTACTTCCTATCACCATCAGCCTTGGAGATCGATCATACCCCATTCCCATACGGCGTCCTCTAACTCCCTCCCTGTCCTCTCACTCCCAAAGAATGCCTTCTTTTTTGTTAAAAGCCGCCGAAGAGCAGAGCGGGGGGAAGCGGTAGGTTGGGGAAGAGGAAGAGTTTAAGAAACGGCATATATTCCATTTTCGCTTATTAACCTTGTTTTATAAAATCCATCAAAAACACTTCTCTTGCTGGAGTACAAACATGACCGCCCCTTCCAACTTCCACTACCACGATTCTCTGGAATCTCAATACACCCCCTCCTTTGTTCCCATCACGAACATAGAGAAACAAATTACAACTCCCTACAATAGCTCACATACAGTCGATATCCGAAAGTTGGGGTGGGTGTGTCACCGGAAGTGACGTGCACTTGATAGAAGTGCGTGGATAAGCTGTTGCCAGCATGCTTTGCTGATAGCCAGCGATGTATGTTGGAAGCAGCTTATCCACATAGTTTCTATCAAGTGCACGTCACTTCCGGTGACACGCCCACCCCAACTCACCGATATCGAGTATACGTTTTCACTGAGTTCAGTAAAACGGACGCTTGACTCTGCTCAGCAGACACTTATGCAATAAATTACCAAGCAATTATCTTCAGAATCCACATGGGGTAAGATGAATGACAACGCCTCAGTGTCCTTTGAGTTTTCACAGTACGGTCCTCTTGATGACCATTTGTTCTTGCATGCGATCAAAATTCGGAATATGTGAGTAGGATGTGTTCTGAAAACGCTAGAACAATTGCATTTTTAGTTCTCGTCCCACAACTTCTGAAATTTTGCATCATTTTGATAAAGAAAGAGGTGGAAAGACGTATGAAGAAGGACCTAAGTGAGGTCACGACCACGATAGAAAATGCCATGGACAAAAAATGCCATGGCGACGACTGAGAAAGGCAGAGTGCGCGGTATCAAACTGGGGAAAGAAGACTCTAAACTTTTGCATTACAAGAGTAGACAGCCAATTATCATCTCTCGTTACAAACGGACTCCTCAGCACGAATGATCCTCGTAAACGAATTTTGAAAACAACATTATAAGCTCACCCTAAGAAAATGAACAATTTTTCATGAGGATCAAGAGAAAGTGCAAAGCAAAAGTAAATACCAGTCACTAACAAATCTTCGGACTATCTTTCAGAATGCCTCATGATCGTCTTCCGAAGAAAGAGGAAAGAAAAAGAGGGATGTTCATTCAAATTTATTAATTTCAAAATGCTGGGATGACTACATGTGTTATAGCAAGACAGGACGAAAAACTCTTTGCCCAATTCTTGGGTTTGATTCCCGAACTTACAGGTGTCCTGCTATACAAAACTAAAAAGGCCACTATCAAGATCTAGTGCCTTTTCTAGTGTCTTTGGGACGTCGTCTAAATCACGCCTTTTACAGGGGAATTCGAGGTCCACGTGAGTTCCTCTGCGAAAGGTGGGTTGCATTTTCAGAACATGAGTGTCCCGCTTGAGAACTGCATTACCGATCCACATTCTAAAGATAATCTAGAGCACATTGTCGGAATAATTTATGCGAGTAACCGATAGTTACAGCGTACAGAGGTCCGTAATACTTACTTACTTACTTGAATACTTGGATGCTCGTTGTCAGCCGATGATCTTCAGCGGCGAGCACACGCTTCCCTCCATTTTTGACGATCTTGAGCGGTTTGGGCCCAGTGTTGGCCCGCATCTTCTTGAAGTTTCTTCAGGGAGTCTCTCCATCGTGTTGCAGGACGGCCAAGTGTGCGCTTCACGTCTCGTGGATACCAGAACGTAACGCGTGTGGTCCACCGATCATCCATGCGTCTGACCACATGTCCGGCCCATCGTTTCTTTGCGTCCCACGTATACACTGCGGCGTCACGGATACCAGACATTAAGCGCATGTCTGTGCTGCGCAAGTTGCGGCTTCTCTGCTCCCGGCGGTTAATGTTCAGCAATGTCCGCTCCAGCGCTCTTTGTGCGCGAGTCAACATCATCGTAGACGTCTTGTTCTCCGCCCACGTCTCGGATGCGTAGCAGAGTGCGGGCAGTACCGTAGAGTCGAATAGGTCAGCTCGTATCTTCTTGTCCGAGATGAGCTGAGCCGCCTCTTTGATGCTTCCCATTGCCGTCCATGCGCATTTCTTGCGCCTCATGATCTCTGCGCGCAAGTTGTTGTCCACGGAGATGAGTCGACCGAGGTACACATAGCAGTCGGTGTCCGGGAGTGCGGCGCCTCCGAGTATGATAGGTGACGCATCTGCCCATTCGTTCCGCATGACCATTGTCTTGTTCCGGTTCATTGTGAAGTCAACGGCACTGCCGACATCGTCCAACTCCTCCACCATCTGTTAGAAAGATTTCCGAGAAGCACTGCAAATCATAACTATGTGATTGTCTCACTTTCAAGAATCGGGTCAAAGATCGACTTCAAGCGTTTTCTGATCGCAAGACGAAGGACGTTCCCGTTCCTTTCAGTAATGAGTCTTTTTCAAGGCCTCATTTACCATCGTCTCTCCGCCCACTTGATTTCAGATACGCGGCCCCTTTCTCCTTACTCTATTTGTTTGTCGTTGAATTTGACGCAACAACTTGTAGCTGTGCCAACTCCACTCTAAAATCCATAAGGACCCAGTTTTTAGCGAGGATGGAACAAGTAATTTTAATTGTTCAATGTCCGGTGAAAACTACGAATTGTTCATAATGCCCGATCCCGTGATAAATTTTCGACCTTTAAAATCGATTAAAATCTCAGGCACGACCAAATTTTCACCAATACGATCCCTCCGTAAACTCCAATACAAACACCCACGTCTGAGTCCGCTAGTCCACAGCGTTGACAATGACAACTTTTTATTACTTTTCGATTATTTCGCTTCTGCTTCAAAATGGCTACAAATTGTACTGCCATGGCATCCGCCCTCATGAATACGTAGCTATTGCTAAGTCATACACTTCGCCAGATACTTGCGAGAATCAACATTTAACAAAGCTATAACAACTATATGGTCAGTGATACTCACGCATTTTGTTGCAGCTTTGAGTAGACGCCGTTATAATCGTAGTTATACACCCATCCAGTGATAGATATTACTCGAGTACGCTTTTGAACAATCGTTCGTGTGTAGTTATTCAATGGTTCCAAGAAGGCTGGACAATGTTATATACATAGCAGACATCTGTCATCAAAGACTACTGGAAACTTGTACCTTTTTTGAATCCTGTCTTCAAAGGAACGATCAGGTTGTGCTCATGTGGCAGAAGCCCTAAACGCAAAATTTACATCTGTTGAAAGTGCGAAGCGATGAGGGTCGTGCACAAACTTTTCTTTTGATGCGAATCTCCTCAGCTGCAGCAAAAGTGCTCTAACCAGGAAGGTCTTTCAGGGCGTGACAAGCTTTTTGAAAACGGTCTTTTGCATGATATAGGGGCAGATGCGGGAACCACAGAACCATGTTCAATTTTTCCTGAACGGCCCTCTGAATACCAGAAAAGGAGGTCCCTAGTTCGATTCCTCGTGGTAACAAATTTTTGCATTTCGAGTTGACGTGCCAAAATTCGCGCAAAATGGAGTTAGAACCAACCAGAACAATCAGAACTCCATTTTGCGCGAATTTTGGAACGTCAACTCGAAATGCAAAAATTTGTCACGAGGAATCGAACTAGGGACCCCTTTTCTGGTATTCAGAGGGCCGTTCAGGAAAAATTAAACATGGTTCTGTGGTTCCCGCATCTGCCCCTATATCATGCAAAAGACCGTTTTCAAAAAGCTTGTCACGCCCTGAAAGACCTTCCTGGTGAGCATTTTCGTTGTCATACCTTTTTTGGATGCGGCATGCACTTGACCACTAATTTGCACAATACGTTTCAAAAGTATAAACCTATGAAAATGACTTTTCCTAGTTGAGATAAGTATTTCATGACTTTCCATGTACTTTATTGATTTAACAGTGTTGAAAACCACTGCCCTCTTTACTCCGGAAAATACAAAAATGTTTACATACATTTTTATAAGAAATTTACAAAATATCTTTCTGTTTCAAAAGTATAAAGCCACTTGCAACACAACTCTATTTTCCCTCAGAAAACAGTGAGCATCGTACATATTAGTAACTAGCGTGACTTCCTTTTTTAAAAGTGAGATTTAATAGACCATTTGGCATACTATCCGTGAGCTTCAGAAGTATAGCAGGGATTCAGGTGGTAGGAAAACGTCTCGATGGCTGTCCAAGGTCTTCCCACGTTACTATACTGCTTCCCATCTGCGTAAATCTGCCTGGCGATAATTCCTCAGGTATTTTCTAATGAGCTTAGATCTAGGCTGCAGGCAGACCAAATTTCCAGTACGCTTTGAATTCGTTGTTGAGACCAGTGTTAAGTGGAATCGCTTGCGATGATGAAGCAGACCATCTTGAGCCACCGCCGAAGATCCTCCTGCTAAATACCAGCGGATCTCTCCAGTAGCTGTGATAACCATCCGGCCCGTCCAAAGAAGTTCTTTCATCAGAGAAAATGACCTGAACACAACAAGCCATTAACTAAACGTCATGATGAAAGTGCCTCCCTACCCCCGTAGAATCACCTACCGAACCCCAACTCGTTCGCATGTTCCTCCGGGCGAGTTCGAGACGAGGTGCTTTGTGATGCTGTTCCGGACGTGGAGTCTTCATCATGGATTGTCGCACGATATTTGGAGCAGAGTTAGCGACCCTCCAGATGGTAACTTTTCGAAGCAAAAGGGAGAGCTCGTGTCGGATCTGACTGATCGTCGCCGTAGAATTGGAAAGGGATCGTTGGATATGGCGGATATCATGTTCGGAGAGTACTCGTGGCCTTCCAGAGATCTTCTTCTTTCCATAATGAAGCTGGATTTTTCAAAAAGTTGTCGATACAGCTATGAGAACGACCAAGTTGAGCAGCTATGGAGCGGTTTGTGGCCAGCTTCATGTACCGTCCTCGCACGAACTTGCTTTTCAATAGAAAGGCCACAGAAGTTCGAACGAATCAACAGGAACGACAAATTTTATCTTTGATGCCTGCTGGCCCGGGATGGCTTTATACTTTTGAAACAGGGGAGTTTTCAAATTTTCTTATGGAACCGTTTCTAGCTTATAGTGGTTTGTACAACAAAGTTTACTATAGTTTCAGAGCGTGCTGAATTCGATAAACTATTCATCAAATCACGGAACCTTCATTCTAACTTGGAACAGCTTCATTCAAGGGTGGCTTTATACTTTTGAAACGCACTGTATACTGGCGCTTGAGGCCCATAGAATGACTTGCGGAGGCCATCCGATGTAATTCTCACAGACAATGTGGTATCATAGTCGATCCGGAGGGATGGAAGGTTTGATTGACCTACACCAGCAAAGTCCCCGGACCGCGCGTGTGATAATCGGCGCCACTTGCTTTGGATTTTTTTTGCTTTCTCTCTTGGCATTTTGTTCTCTCGGTGATGAAGCGACCGGCAATGGCGAAAACTGTCTGAATACAAGTGCGCTGAATACGGCAGGTCAACCAAACCCGAGAATCTTCTAATGTTTGGGCAAAGATACATGCGACCGCGCGCTGTAGTGGAGCGCATTGTCTTGGCGCTGTATTCCGCAAGGTTTTTTCGGGACCGTGTTGAAACTAGCACTAGGCAGCGCATGTGATCATGCCTCTTCTTACAGGATATACATATCAGTGGATGATGGAGTCCATTTCCAAAACTACAAGAACGTCATCTTTATCCATGATATGGGAAACAGTGAAACTCCTGTTTCGCAGAGCCACCTTGAGTCACTCTTCGGATACGCTAATAATTAGCAATTCGCTTCTCGTCGTTCTCCACGGTAGAAGTTGATTTATGATTGCAAACGCATAATTAATAAAGGCCGCGTGGTGCCTGCGCGAAAATGTCCGCCGTTAGGCAAAATTAGAGCATTCAGAGGCCTAGACACGAATTGCGGTGGCGGCCGAAAGCACGGAGAGCTACTCATTACGGAGCTAGCAATGAAGAACGAGCAAGATCTGCTTATCGGACGAAGCATCAAGGAAAGAATCTCTTATGGAATTAATGTTGTAGAGAAATTCGCATTTTTTGTAGTGTTCCGGCGAGTAACATGGAACAATTCCAATCATACCATGCACCTCTGTCCTTCCCGAACATCGCTAGGTAATTGAGGAATGGGAAGTCACCGGATGGTCACGTCAGCGACGCTACTTCCACACTGTCTCAGAAACTAATAGCTAAAACAATGCTTTCTAATGAGGCAGCATAGCTGAAATGGCACTAAATCCATGTCGACGCTGCCTTCAAAGATCATTGACCCTAGCAATAGTCTTATATCGTTTGCATCTCGTTTAGAAGTGCACTTCATCTCGACAGCAATCTACTACAAACTTGTCGTATCTATCGTTTGTTCTTGTCACCAATCCAAATATCCAACGTCTGAGCTGGGGCGTCCCTCCCGGGTACTTGATCACTGCCCCATGCCACCTCACATTCAAATTAGCTCAAGATGGAATCAGTGATATTGGATTATCTCCACATAACATTGTTGTCAAAGTGGCATCAATTTGTGAAATCGATTATAAACCAGGCATGTGAAATTGAATCATTGAAGAATGAAAGTGTTTTCAAAGCATGTTGCATTGGTTTCCTTCTAGTTCACGGTGTCAAAAGTACTGTATGAGGTAATCTAAGTTACCTTCTTACCTTTTTCAGGATATGCAGAGACGGTAGAGATCGCTAATCCCTTTCCAGCTTCCCGTTTTGCACATGCTGTATTCGATTTAGCTAATTGAAAAACACAGGCTTCAGAGAGCGTGCCATTTCCGGACTCGCTAGTGTACATCTCAATAAGCGTGCCGCTGTTCACTGAAGAAGAAACACATCACCAAAAACGACACCTGATGAACACAGCCATAAACGGTATATATCAACGCTATCTCAATCGACTATCCTACTTAACTTTCCCCGAACTCCGAGAACAACATTCCTGTTCCTCATCAGGATAAATGCGACTCGCAGCCAAGGAATCCTCGACCGTACTTAATCATAAAATTCGATGTATGCGGCGCTAAATAACTCTCCAGAAGCGAGTCTCCGCCAAATTTCAAGACAGTTCATAAAGCTAAGCAGGGGAGTGGAACAGACCTTATTAGGTTTCTGTGAAAATTTGTGAATGTGGGTGGAAGAGAAAAAGGAAGCTTTTGCACCCTAGACTCTTCTCAAAATGTGTTAATAAGGGGGCTGTCGTTCAGCAGAACATCCACCACACTTATGGGATCTGGGTCTTCGAGAAATTCCTGCGAAATTTGAAAACTTGCAGCTATTTCACGCAACTATAAGCTGCACCTCTCTGCGATAGCGTCGGTGTCATTGTATGAAGTATACTGCGAAGCGCTCCAATGGACCAATAAGGGAATCTAATACTTTAGATAAGTGATTAGAGTAGGAGAAGAGGCTCGTTTTGAATGCTGAACTGCGCCCAGGTAGTAGCACCTCCGTAACATGATACAGTGACACCTTGACAAGGCGTTTGAACCTCGTTTCCTAGAGAGCAAGTTTCGTTAGACATTCACTGATTCGCTTGATTTAGCTTCACGCAGCCCATGTTGGATCCACACACCTAGCCTGATCTACAGGGTATCTCATAAATATTACGCCACCTTTCTTTACTTGTAACTTCTCTCAAAATGGATGTATCTTCAAGAGGTTTTACAAAAATTTTAGCCAATACATTTACATATTGAAAGGAATGATATTCATTGGATATGCTCCCCTGTTGTTGTGAGTATGGCTCCCAATTGCTTCGAACGCAACTCTACTGTGGCCCGCATGGCATCCTGGGTGTTAAAACTTTGCAGAGAAAAGGCTCCGGCTCATCCATGTGGATGCAATGTTTAGTGCAGGCTCCCCCTCCCCCTAAAATAGCCCACATAGAATGGCTCAGCACGCTGGAATCGAAGGACAAGAGAGTCATTTGTTTGAGGATGCCTTAACAGCGCTCTTGAACGAATTTTGCCTCCTATGCAGAAGCTGGGTCCTATTGAAAAGATCATCACCCCTCCTCAAAGTGGCTAGATACCTCAGTAACAGATGGTGCACCGAAATGTCCCTTGGCTCGATAGTATCAAGTTGTATTCCTTTATAAGGCAGTGATGGTGAGCGACCGGTAGTTGAGACCCCCGTCCAGACCATGATAAGGTTCGGCTGCTGCTTGTGGCGAATATTCCTTTCACTCTCACTGACTTCCTCAAGACCTCATGCGGGCATCCTCGGAGTTTGAAGATTGTAGCTCCGCTCCATGTGAGGAATTTTGTCGTCGATGAAAACGGTGCCCGCGTAATCGCCATTTTCGGCCCTCGACACCAGCTCTTTGAACTTTTTGTCTCTGCTGTGCTCCTCCCGTTGGATTGAGCAGTGGTGCTTATGCAACTTATAATGGACTGTGAGCAGTTGTTATCCGACCATATAAAACTTCTCCAATACCATGTAGAATGCTTCGTGTTCCTCCTCGTGGTGCGTAGGCGACGAAGATTGTCAAAGCAGGAGTTGAACCACATCTTCTCAATCTCAAACGTCCGATTCGGGTCGTAAGGCTTTCGTACGAATCGATGTTTATGGCCAAGTGCGTGTTGACGAGGACACCCACACCGCCAACGCCTCTGCTGTCGCATGTTCCAAGGAACAGTTCTTCTCCAGTATCGAAAACGGCGTGTAGCGGGCGGTGCCTTCTCGGTCAGTCCGATGACGTCGTACTTGATCTTCCTGGCCTGCATCATCAGATCTTCGATGTGAGCTTCGGATGCAAGCGTTCGTGCGTTGAAAGTACAGATCGCCATCTTAGTCCTTCTTCGTTTAGGCAGCCTATCCGGGCCCTGAGATTCTAGCAGCCTCTCCCGAGCGGTCCTACCCAACGCTGCCGTATTGGGGGCTCCCTCAGGTTCAGGGGAATGAGGCCCATCCATATTGCTGTTTTCGGCATATTGAAGGCACACGAGTAGCTTGCCAGGCTCTGTCGTGTGGGCTAGGATAGACCTCCAGGTAGTTAGCCACGCTATCCTGGAGCGGAACAAGGGGCTTAGTTTTTGGAGGCGGCCCCGAATCGCCTCCCATGTACTTCCTTCCCCTGAATCCACCTGCGTCTCAGGGCAAGTACATGGTGGCTTTTGGTCCGCGATTTACCCCCTATCCGCCACCTGGGGTCGCGCCACGTAGCCTCGCCACCAACCGGCTCGAGATCTTTCAGTGAGAGAGGACCCTCAGTGAAAGAGATCCGTGGACTGTATTGTTCCAATTTTAGTTTATGTTAAGGAATGAACAACCGGAGGGATGCGAGCTGTAATACACTGCTTACCAAACTCGAACAGCGAATGCCGACAAGATATCTGTGCTCAAAAATCATCTAAAATCGCCGTTCACTGCAAGTTCTAATAACACTAGTTGCCAAGACTAGTGACAGGTCGTGTTGCGTACCAAGAAGAGTTTTCAGCGCTGCAGGTAGATAATCTGTCAGGTTGTTTTCGAAGAGGGTCTCTAGAGGACTGACGTAGTCATATGTCTTGAAATAGGTTGTAGTATTCATTAGAGACGAGCGCAGTGGGCCTTATTCGCGGTAACATAAAAGACCAGCGGAATCACAGGGCGCGATTTCTGTGATTTCTTTGTTTTCTTGATTGAGGTTAAGTGAGCAATGACTGCCAGCGTCATTGCCCACTTTACCTCACTACCATCAAATATACCGCTAATGCGAGCGCAACGATTTTAGTGAAATCTGTTTTTCGAGACTCTTTGTTGGTCTTAGTCAGCCACGATAACGTCTCGTGTCCGACCATGAATATCCTCCCACATGCTATATACGCTGTGCTGTGCACAAAAAAGTCCAGACTCTGTATATTTGCTCTGTGTAACGTCGTTAGCCAACTCTTATCAGTTGCTTGTCACGTACTCGTCATCCACCACTTTCCACCTCGCATCGCAACTATGAGCACGGGTCTATTAGAATGGCAAATGGTAGCGAAGTTGATGGCACTAAAACTCTGACGCGCTTACTTCTTATTGATAAATAAGTTTATCTAAGTGTTAACCCCCCTAGCGAGCGAAGTTTAGCTTCCGCATATACAATACACCAAACATCAGCTCCAAACTGTCTTTCAGAGGACGACGCTTATCCGTCCAGCACCTCTTCGGTGCCACCCTCTCAAGTGAAATCAAGCGACCAAAAGTTTACGACGTCTATCCCTTATTGTGTTGTCCTTTCCAGAACCCAATGACTGCTTGCGACAGCGAGACAGCTTTTGCCGCATGGTGAGAGGTCATAACTGTTAGGTTTATGATCGACCAGCCACTTGTTATTCCAGCTAGGAAAATTCTCGCCGAGGTAAAGATCGGTCCAGTGCTGCATCAAAGCTCTTGCCGATAAGCCTTGCAGTTACACGCCTGCACGTTCCATCCATTTTCTAGAAGTAAGGCCGTCAGATGTGCGTTGTGTTAGGTTCTGTAACCGAAATGCTCTTGCATGGAAATTGAATATAGAGGATTCGATCGCTGTGACGGAAGCTACCTGCTGCCCTCAAAGCATGTGTCACCTGGTTCGGAGCAATAGTACAAACGACGCATCATTGAGAAGCATCCGCTACACATACTCATGGTACTAGTTTAATGATTAGGTCTATTCAGTTCAACCCGGCTATTCTAGGAGGTCGAATGCAGAATAGCACTTTATCGATTGAGGCCATTTCTGTGGCAAAGCGTAATGCTCGCGGTCTTCCCGAGGAAACAGGCATTCCGGGAAGAATAAAAACTGCTTACGCAAACCAGAGCCTTACATCCCCGCTCAGGTTAGTCCCGTCTTTGAAAGGGCGCTCTTTACGTTGTTCTAAATGCATTGCCACCACAATGCCCATACTTGCGACAGCGCCGAGAAAAATTCTGGAATACCACAGAAGATAGATGCGGAGTGATTTTTCTACTGGTGAATATTGTTCCTGCTTCTCTTAGATTATTATGAACGGTTATAGAAATTCACTCCTGCATCTCACTTGTGCTCAAGCACCGGTGAAAGAGTGGGCGAAAATGTAGCAGGGCTCTGAATTACATCGAAAGTGATACAAAAGTGAGAAAGAGAGCACGAAAGCAGCCGAAGAATAGAAATCGGATTAGGTGTGGAGGTGGAGAGCTTCTGGAGGATTGTAGACGAAGCTCCATAGTCAGAGAACCTCAAAATCTCCCCAGACGCAAAAGCACTTACCATTTGCAACCACGGAAAAGCACCGAATGAGCGCTTCCAAAAGTCACCAATCACCGAGTCGATACATTGTAAATGACTTTATCACTGAATTCATTTTGTAAGATCAAACTGAACAGCTACCAGGACATCTCGCAAATCTGCAAGTTGTCTCGCACCCGCAAGTTATATCTAGCAATGCGTCACAGATTTACGCATACCCACGACATTTCCATAAACGTGTACAATGGAAAGAATACAGTGTCCGATCTTCAAATAAGAGAATCACTGTATTCTTAAGGACAATGGTGATGGCGAGGACGTAATGATCCTTTGGCAAAAATAACCGTTACAAGCGCCTACGTGTTCTGTCTAAGGTTGTTTCAATTCTCCTTTCAAAAGTACAACATGTTAACAGCCATTGATTTCGACGTGTCGATGGATTTTTACAGCTTCGCTGGCAAA